GGCCTCTTTTGAGCTCCTTGGGTCCTCTTGAGGACTCCTTGGGGGCCTGCTGGCGGTCTTCGGGGTCCTCTTGGGACGGAGGCTTCAGAATGTGGGTTCGAGTTCCCCCCCGGAGGCCCCTCTTGGGGCCTTCTTGGGCGATCCTGGGTGCCTCTTGGGTCGTCTTGGGGCCCTCTTGGATCGTCTTGGGGCTCTCTTAGAGACCTCTTGGGCCGTCTGAGGGCCTTTTTGGGAGCCTCTGGGCCGCCATGGACGCTGTGAAAATTAGAAAAACGAAACTGCTTGAGATGCGCCTTCTCCTTAAAAAAGAATGGGGCGAGTTTTACCTCTTCGGATCCTCTAAGGGGACCTCTTGGAGCCGTCTCGGGGCGTCTTGTGGGCCTCTTGGGCCGTCTTGACGCCGTCTGGGGCTGTCCGGAAATCATCTTGGCCCGCCTTTGACCTACTTGGAGGCCCCCGGGGGGGGGAGTGGACACTTAATTCATTGCAGGTGCCCCTGGTGGTCTTCGGACTGGGACCCCTGGGGCCAGGTTTCTGGAAAATGAAAAACATCCTCGATCTCCATCACCTGCGATTGCATGAGCTCGCTGCCGCTGCGGTGCTAGCTCTGAGGTGTCACTGAGTCCGTACATGCGCCTGCTCACTGAGCATCACAGTTTTTATCCTGGTTGCCATCTTGCCTGCTGTGCGTCGAAATGCTCGCGTCAGCAGCTGAGCCTGCGGATGGCCACGGACCCCGCTACCACAGACACGACAACATGGTGATGCTGATACTTTCTTAGAAAAAGAGTCATTGAGACAGAGGGAGGGTGGCGTCAGCCCAAACGGCAACGCAAATGCACAGCAAAAACTCAAGCTCGTACACTGCGATTCCTCAGGCTAGCGTATTCCGGGTGAGGCCATCGGCCAAAGAAGAGAAAGAAAGGAGGAAGGAGCAATCAGAAAGGAAGGAGGAGGAGGGAGAAGGGGCGAAGAGGAAGGAGGAGGAGCGGGGAGAAGGCAGCGGAGTGAACCCACCGCGGGCGCTGCTGGCCCGACCTCCCGCCGGGGAAGCCGCTAGGGAAGCCCCCCCTCGTTCCCGCCGCTGGCGGCGACAGCGTCGCGCAGGGAGGGGGGAAGAGGGGCGAAGCGGGGCGAGAGGAGAGGGGGGGGGGGGAATGTGGGAAGTCCGCCGACCCCTTGGGGTTCATCGGCGTGTGAGATCTTCCCCCTCCCCAAACCCCTCCCCCGGGAACCCGGTCCGGTCGATTTGGAGGTGGGGGAGGGGGGGTCCGGGCAAATCCCCCGATTCCCCCGATTCCCCCGGGGGGGTCATCCGGTCCCGAAAATCTTGCAAGGACTACTCCGGTGGCCTCGAAATGGCCCCGGGACGCCAAACGAGCGCTCCAAGACGCCCAAGGTGGCCCAAAGACGGGCTACGAGGCCTCCTAGACGGCACAAGAGGTCCCCACGAGGCCCCAAGAGGCCTCCAAGATGCGTCCCAAGAGGGTCCCTAGACGCAACAATTTGCCCATTCCCTCCGTTAAACATATATTTTTCACAAATTCGCCTTCTGGGTTTTCCGATGCTCCCAGACGGCCCAAGAGACCCCCAAGACCGCCCCAAGACGGCCCAAAAAACCTCCAAGAGGGTCCCAACATAGCCCAAGAGGGCCCCAAAACGGGCCAACAGGCGTCCAAGACGGCCCAAGAAGGCTCCGAAAACGGCCCCAAGAGCGCTCCAGGAGCGCTCTCAGTGACTTCCCAGAGAGCTAGCTCAACATGGTCCAGACGGTCCAAGAGCGATCAAAGACACCGAAGACGGCCTCCAGACGGCCCAAGATGCCCCCAAGAGGCCCCAAAAGGCATCCAAGATGCGCCCCAAGAGGGCCTCTAGACGCAAAAAGTTGGCCCGTTCCCGTCGTAAAACGTGTATTTGTTTCACAAATTCGCCTTTTGGGCTTTCCGCCGCTCCCGGACGGCCCAAGAGGCCCCCAAGACCGCACCAAGTCGGTCCCAGAAGCCTCCAAGAGGGCCCCAAGACAGCCCAAGAGGGCGCCAAGACGGCTCAAGAGGCGCCGAAAACGGCCCAAGAGAGGCCCGAAGACGGCCCCAAGAGCGCTCCAGGAGCGCTCCAAGTGGCTTCCCAGAGAACTCAACATGGTCCCACACGGTCCAAGAGCGATCGAAGACACCCGAGATGGCCTCCAGCTGGCCCAAGACGCCCCCAAGGGGCCTCCAAGATGCGTCCCAAGAGGGTCCCTAGACGCAGAAAAATGCTCCATTCCTTCGTAAAACATATAGTTTTCACAAATTCGCCTCGTGGGTTTTCCGACGCTCCAAGGCGGCCCAGGAGGCCCCGAAGACCGCCCCAAGACGGCCCAAGAGGCCCCCAAGACGGCCCCACGACGGCCCAAGATGGCCCCAAGACGGCCCAAGAGGTCCCCAAGACGGCCCAAGAAGGCTCCAAGACGGCACCATGAGGGGCCCAAGAGGGCAACCAAAAATTCAAAGATCAAGCTTTCCGCCCCCACGAGCCCCAGGGGGCCCCAAGAGTGCCCCTAGAGGCCGCCAGAGGCCCCCAAGAGGCCGCCAAGACGCCCCAAGGAGCCCCCAAGAGGCCCCCAGGAGGCCTCCAAAAGACCCCCAGACGCTTCCGCATTGCGAGCCGCCAAGCCAACTGCAATGCACTCCGCGCATGCAGCCTTGCTCTTCCTCGCGACGTGCTCACAATCTTGCTCGGCGCTAATGTGCTGCTGCTACGCGAACTGTTTCGTGCGCGCTGCGAACGTCAACAGCCTCTTCACCCGTTTCGACTCATCTGCCACATCTTTCGCGGTGATGCTTCGCTGATCACAGCTTCTGCACGCTACTCTTGCTCCTTTCGTCTTCCGGTGCTCCTCCACTTGGTTGAGGGTCGAAAGGCCGACCTCCCAGAAGGACACCCCGCACCCGGGTGCACAGCACGCAAGGCGCTCGCAAAACACGCCCCAGACCACCGGCATCACGCAAACATTTGGACCCCCTACGTATCTGCCACCACCCGCGCGCGACACCGCACCCTCACACAAGACGCCGCTGGCCAGAAACTCTTGGCCTCGCAACAGTCACAGAAGGGGTCGGCGGATGTGGCGTAAGCCTGTAGAATAAAAAGGAAAGGGGAGGGGAGGGGAGAGGAGGGGAGGGGAGGCTGGCTGGCTGGTTGGGAAATTCCCTAGGCGGCACCTCCAGGGAACGAGCGTGGCGCGACCCCAACAACGACTATCATACTCGCTGGAGACATACATGTGCAATGCACCACTGCTATGAGGTGAGACATGTAACGCATATGATAACAATGCATAGCACAACACCGCAAGGCCGAACCTGGTGCAGCAGCACGGTATAGTAATAGCGTAGCACTGCGCACTCTGGCATAGCGTGGCGTAAAAAGGACTCGGCATGGCGCAAGATTCCATGACTTGGCACAGCACCACACGGTGCAAACTGGCTCGGCATATTCGAGCATGAGACAAGATGGCATCGTATGGTCAGGCGTGGCATAACATAACCTGAAAACCGAACAAAGCATGACATGGCAGAACACACATAGTTGTTGTTGGTCTAGCAAACACACAGTTCGGTCCAACCAGCTGTCAAGCAAACGGCGGGAGGCACCCGTTGCGACTTGAAGACGCAGGTGCACCCCACAGGCGGGCGAGGGCCAGACCTCCGCGGGGCTTGCTCGATGGCCTTGAGCATCGGGTGGTAAAGTTTTTTCTGCGGTCTCGTCGTAAGGGAGCTGCGCTGCTGTTGCGGCGGCGGCCACGCCCCAAGGGGAGAGGTTCTGGACATCGCCGTGAGCGCTGGCGTCACTGACCACCGTGGCCGAGTGAGTGACCAAGGACATGGCCTTGGAACTGAGGGGCGAATGACACACTTTAAATGCGCTTCATTGTCAGCCTCAGCGGGCCGCGTTGCCAACCCGAGGGGGGCCCGCTACCGATCCGAGTCGGGCACCGCTACCAACCCGCGGAAGCATCTAATGCCAACCCGAGGGGGTTCCACTGCCAACCGCCGGAGCGCCCACTGTCGGCCCACTACCAACCCCACTGCGAACCTACTGCCAATCCACTGCCAAGTGTCAACCATCTGCCAACCCCACCGCCCACTGCCATCCAACTGCCAACCCACTGCCACCCCCACTGCCAGCCCACTGCCAACTCGCTGCGCCAGTCCACGGCCAGGCCATTGCAGACCCACTGCCGTCCCCACTGCCACACTCAGGTTGGCAGTGAAACCCCGTCAGGTTGGCAGTGGAGTTGGCAGTGGGGATTGCAGTTGAATGACAGGCGTGATGGAGGGGGGGGGCGGCGAACGAGGCCCTGAAAGATACCAAATGCGATAGAGGTCGCACGGACGGGGGGCGAACATCATCACCACCCTCATCATCATGCTCATCCTCATCATCATCCGCAACATCATCATCATCATCATCATCATCATCATCATCATCATCATCATCATCATCATCATCATTATCATCATCATCATCATCATCATCATCATCATCATCATCATCATCAGCATCATCATCAACATCAACATCAACATCAACATCATCATCATCATCATCATCATCACACTCATCATCATCATCATCATCATCATCATCATCATCATCATCATCATCATCATCATCATCCTCGTCATCATCATCATCTTCATCATCATCATCGTCATCACTATCAGCGCACCATCACCACCACCACCATCATAACCACCATCATCATGTATCATCATCATCATCATCATCACCAACATCATCATCATCATCATCATCATCATCATCATCACAATCACCATCACCATCACCATGATCATCATCATCATCATCATCATCATCATCATCATCATCATCGTCATCATCAAATTCACCACCAGCACCGTTGCAATTTATCATCATCATAAACACCATCATCATGATCATCATTACCATACGTCTTTTCCCCCTGGGATGCCGCCCCTGCCCCCCGCGAGGTCCACAAGTTGGTCATCCCGGACGGCGACAGCTCGTCCAAGCGCCGCTGCGGGGCAGCGGACAGGCGCGCCCTCGTCGTCGTCAGCGGCATCGGCATTGGCATCGTCGTCATCGGCGTCGGCGTCGGTCTCGTCGGCGTCGTCGGCGTCGTCAGAGGGATGAGAGAAGCAGAGAGAGGGGAGGGGAGAAGAGTGAAGGGAGGATGAGAGGGATGAGGAGAAGAGGAGGAGGAGGAGGCGGAGGAGGAGGAGAGAAGGAGGGGGAGGGAGGGAGGGAAGAGGAAGAGGAAGAGAGGAAGGAAAGGGAAGGAGGGAAAAACAGGAGAAGGGAGGGGGGCGGAGGGGCAGCAACGGCGGGAGTGGGAGGCAAGGCGACGCAAGGCGCGCCTAACGCCCTAGAGGCGGGCCTATAAAGACGGTTGCGGTGGGTTTGGGCCCGCTCGCAGCTCGAGCATGTATGAGATTTTTAAGGGTCTGCAGCAGCTTCCAACCAATCAGTGGGCATGGTTGTGTACTGGTTTGGGCACTGAGAAAAATTCATGAGATCCCTTGCTCCACCTCTTCTGTACTAGTCCGTGGCGACGGTGCACTGGCCGATTGTCGCGCAGCTCTGGTTTCAACATCGCTGTCTGGCGTGACCACCATTCAAACGGTTGCGTGGCGATCCATCTTGCCCATTTGAATTTGCGCATGTGATATACCGTAGCCCAATCGTCAACCTCTTCGGGCGCGGTGAACATGTGTCTCTGCTACGTTGGTCACGCGCTTGATGAACTCAGCCAACAGCTCTGAATCATGATCTTCGTCGTCAAGAACAGCGTCTTCAAACAAATCGGCTAAGAATGTGTTGTCGCTGGTGGTGTCGAAATGTTCGCCACTGCAACCATGATGGTCGTCAAGTTGCGTATCGATCACGACGTTTTCTAATCCGGTCTCGTTGTGGCCAGGGTTATGCTGCGATCGTCAAACGGGAGACACCACCAACAATCATAACATGCGTCGCTGCTGTCTCTGCATAATAAAATGCATCTGACAAAGCCGACGAAGTACAACCGTGCAAAACGGACGAGGCGACGGACGCATTGTACAGCCGGAATATTAAGACCGGACCGGCACCCTTCACTAATTATTTAGGAAAGCTTCGAAAAGTAGCACAAGGACGATAAACGCTCCGAAGCGATCGCGATCGGAAGCTTCCGACACGAAGCGCGAGACAAAGGTGTGAAGGTGCGCTGGAGGCAGGATCGAAGCGGCAAGCTCGCGCGGAAGGGCGAGATCGAGCTTGCGGGCGCGCGGGCGGGCCCCGCGCCGCTGCGCACGTAAAAGAACTAGAACTGCTTGTGTGCCAACTCGCGTAGGAGCGGACGGAATCTGCGCCATCCAGACGCGATCCCGTTGGAGAACTCAGCGCACCGTGGTTCGTGTTGTTATCACATACGCCCCAGGCACTTCAAGCTCGCACCGTGGTCTGGGATCTCGATACTGTCTTCGCCAACAAAGAGGCGCTGAACTACGCGCCCCCCTCGACGACTGACGTTGGTGAGAATGTCTGTCTTCCCCAGGTGCGGTCGGAGTCCCAATGGTGCTGCCTTTTCTCGTGGGTCTAGGCGCAGTTCGTTTGCTCGCCGCAAGGTTGGCGCAAAAAAGCCATCCGCATATCGTGGATTCGTCAAGGGAGCGGCACGTGAAAACCCCGAGCGGATGCATAAGCCCTTGGAAATCCAAGTGCCTTTCAGAATGCGAAATACTTCTTCCAGCGGCGCGTGGAATAAAATGGGCTCAGCGGGTCCCCTCCACGCACGCCTCTGCCAACATTGAACGGTCGGTTTGGTTTGTCCGTTCTGGCGTTCGTGGTCTGTTCAGTCTGTTCCGTATTTTTCTGTTTTTAAAAAAGGAAGGAAACGAACTTTCTGCGCCGACGCTCTGTCTGGCCCTGCGCTGCAACTTGCGCAGGAAAGCAAAACCCCGTCGCGCCATCAACTTGCACAGCATAGAAGTGATAGCGATTGGTATGTAATTCTTTGGCAACCCTGGACCTCCCGATTTGTGGATGACTCGGATCGCCGTCTGCCTGCACTCCCTTGGCGGCTCCACTTCGGGACGAAGGATGTCGTTGTAGAGCCTCAGAAGAAGCTGGTCCATGCATGTGCCTCCTGACTCGAGCATCTCGGCGGCAGCGCCTGCAACGCCTGGGCACTCGCCGTTCCATAGCTGGCAGATGACCCGACGGGACTCGCTCAGGCTGAAAGGCGGCATGGCGTCGTATCGCGATTGCGTCTGTCCCCCAACGATTTCTGGGGGGCTCGTCCATCTGTCGATCAGGAGTGCCGTGGTCTTAATAAACTACTCGTAAAAAACAAGCACGTCAGCAATTTCCCAACGATTTCTGGGGGGCTCGTCCATCTGTCAATCAGGAGCGCCGTGGTCTTGGTAGCGCTGCTCGTGGAAAGGAGCAAACATGTCAGCAACTCCTTGTCGGTCGGTCTCTTCGTCGCCATCGTCCGTCGTTGCGCTCGGCGCGCGCTCCTTGGACCAGTTCTTCTTTCGTTCTGCAGCGTGCCTGATGTTGCCGCATCTTGGGATGTATTGGCCTGCTGTGTCTCTCTCTCGATGTTGCGAGCTTCCTTGATCATATTCCGCCGAGTGCTGCTCTAACCTTTCCGTTTGCGTCGTCAGGATTCCAGCGTTTCTCTCTTAAGTTGTGGAATCTGCAAGTTTGTTCGGGCTGGTGGTCGTCGTCGTGGTGCTGGCCTTGATGCCGCGGGTTATGCCTGAGTCGCCATGCAGCCTCAGTCATACCAGCCTCGATGTAGACGCATCTCTCGACCACGTCTATCGGGGAAGCCTGATCAGCAAACTGTTCGACCACGTGGCGTTGAAAATCTACGTTCGTCTGTTGTGACGTTCTGCGGGAGCACGTTTGTTGATTATTATTGCCCGGAGTCGTTCGCTTGGACGTGCTTTTTGAACCAATTGATACTGTAAGGTGCACTGCCTTGTTGTCGGAGCCGAGGTCCGGCAATTGCAAAATAATCATGTGAACCAAAATGCAATACATAAATATATATGTATATATATATATATAGGTGGCATGCCTTCGGGTTCTACACTGGGCCCGTGTACGCGTGCATGTTGTGCGGATGCCTGTAAGTCGCCCTTTGGAGGTCCAGCCAAGTAGCCATGTACAAAAGCGAGTTTCTCGTGCCAGCTGCATGTTTGCCCAACGCCATGCATCTGCCGATGCTCTCGTCGTCGCCGTTGCACTCGATTCGTCCCCCTGCCTGCGCATTGAAATCTTCGGTGATAACCGTCGACCGTCGTTTTTGTCGAGAATCCCCGAGTAGAGAGGTGAGGATGTCGTAAATGTGCTGCGCCTGCTCATCACAATATCCACTGTGAGGGAAAGACGCCATGATAATTCGCAAATGTTGATGTGAACTGTCGATGTCGATGTAAACGATCCTCTCGTTGATCCGTTTGAGACTCTGCGCGTGCTGAACGTGTCGTCGGTGACAAGACACCCCACTCCACGGGAAGAGGTTGAATGGCCAGATGCTGCAAACAAGTGTTTCCCAAGGTCCGTCAGCCAGAACTCTCGCGGTGTTGTTCCCCACGTTTCGCTGATAGCCAATGCAGCACATTCGACGTGCCGCAATTCGTGTAGTAATGTACTGATGGCCGCGTCATTCGTCAAGCTTCGTGCGCTCTTATGGAGAACGGGGAAACCATCATGCTTGCTCGGTGTGATCGACTTCCGGCCAGTTGGAGGCGAGAGCGTGGCGTGGGAAGAAGTCGACAAAGTAGCTGAATAATACCCCAGAGCATGCGAAGCTGGTGAAACCTGGTCTGATGACGGTCTCGAAATAGCCATGTTTTCCGCGGAAATGTCGTGGTAACGCACGTCCACAAAATACCGTCTTATTTGAGCAAGGTTAAAAAGTACATCGCCAGAAACGGTTTAATAACCCCTCTGCCACCACCATGGCCAAATGAAACATTTGAGCGGGGGCGGGAAGAAATCAAAAGAATGGCGGTCGGAGGTATAAGAATATGACGTGTCATCGGATGCGCTCCGTTCCGTGCATCAATGTTACTGTTCTCGCCCAGCTGCTAGATGGCCAAATGGCCTCCCTTTGGTCTTGAACGTGGTATTGAAGTCGTCTGCAACCGCATCTTCGTCGATGTCGTTCCTGCGCGCGCTAGTGTAGTGCCATCTTGGTGTCGTAGCTTTGTCTCCAGGCTCGGGTACAATTTGAATGATAGCGGTCAGGCCGATATAGATGCCTCCATTGGGCGTGTCCGCGCACCACCAATTGTCTTGATTTCAATCCGGATACGCTTAGAGATTCGTCCACTGATACGTAAAGTGGCTCCTGTGACTCTAAAAGAACTGGTACTTGAAACCGCCGCCATTCGCCGTCGATCCGCATGCTGGCAAGTGTTTGTTCCATCCGCCTCGACGCCAAAGTCTTGTCTCTTTTGAACTGTAATGTGAATTGTTTGCCAGGCGAGTCGCCGATGATCTCGTACTTTTCTTTGTCGATGTCGGATTCGTGCAACCACTCTTCCACAGTATTATGCACGGCAGCGGTAGTAATAGGTTCGGCGCAACTGATGCGGAAGACCGTCGGGTCCGCGTCGCAGTCGAAGGCCTTGTTTTGTTCCACGTTGATCTGGATCTTGGCCTCTGCGACGGCCATCTTCTTTGTCCGTTTTCCGACGGTAAAGAGCATCTGCTTGTTTTGTACTCCCAAACGAACGAAGCTCTCTTTCATGTTGGCTAGGTCATTTTCGATGTTCTGGGAGCGTTTGTTGCTTTCCTCGGAGCCCTTGAAGATGGAGCAAAGGAGGTTCTTCTTGATGCGAGCGACGGTCTGATCTGCATTTGCTAGCGCGTTAGCTTGGATGGCTTCGGTAAGCTAGGCACGAAAATAATCGATATAATATGCTACAACCCTCGTCGAAATTGAACGCAAGTTTTCCCGCCCCCGTCGCCCCCAAATTTTAATGTTCATCGACAGGCGCATCGCGGCCGGCGGGGTCCGAAGAAAATCTCGAAGTCGCTGGCGTCGGCGTGAACATTGAAATTGGGGGTCGGGGGGCGCCGCCAGGTCGCGGCTAAAACTTGCGTTCAATTTCGACGAGGGATGTTCACATTTTTCTTGCGACGTGTGTGGGTGTGTGTGTGTGCGCGCGTGTGTGCGTGCGTGCGTGCGTGCGTGCGTGCGTGCGTGTGTGTGTGTGTGTGTGTGTCTGTGTGTCTGTGTCTGTGTGTGTCTGTGTGTGTTTGTGTGTGTCTGTGTGTGTCTGTGTGTGTCTGTGTGTGGTGGGTGGGTGGGGTGAGCGGGGTGCGGTGCGGGGTTGGGGTGGTGGTGGAGGGGGGGGGGGCTCGCTTGGCGGCGTGACCCGCGTTGCCGATCCAGCCGGGGATTTCCTGCCCTACCGTAGTTGCTCACTCTGGCTCGCAGATCCGCGGCCGCGCGGCCCCCATGCGCATCGCGCTCACCCGCGGGCCCGCCCGTTGGACATGGCCCCGAAGCGCGTTCAGAAGCTGGCCATGAAGGCCAAGAGGGCGCTGCCGCCCCAGGGCCACCTGGACGCGATCGCGCGGGGGGTCATCTGGGGCATGCATATGGCAGGGATGCCCCGCGCAGACATTGTCATGCGCGTCGAGAAGCCGGACGGTGGCGCCGCGCCAGTGAACGCGGTTGACGCGTCATCGCGAAGAAGAAGGCTTCGCCCGAGTGGCGCGGTGAGGAATCTCCAGGCGCCCGCGCTGGCGCCGGGCGACACAGGGCGGCGTCTGCGGCGCTGGTGTTCCAGGAGCGCGGGGGCTGCAAGGTGACCGTGAGCTTCTGCAAGAAGAAATTGCCAGCCCTTCGGAAGGTCAGAAACTCCGCCGTGGAGCGCTATCTACACGCGGCTGGACTGCAGTGGTTGACTCGGCGATCGAAGTCGTGGGTCCCTCCTGAGAACAAGATCCAGAGGATCTCGTTCGCAGACAAGGTGCTGCGGATGCACGCTTCTTCGCTGGCCAGGTGGGCTTACACGGACGGGACGACGTTATTCCTCGCCCGCGGCCCTTCTGAAGCCAGCCAGAAGCGACGCGCGGCCCTGGGGTCGTGCGTCTGGCGGCAGTCCACGGGCTCGGATGGCTTGTGCGATGATAACGTCGGGCCTTCACTGTGCGCCAAGGCGCAGGGGCGGCCCGTGAAGATCTGGGGCTTTCTGGCGAATGGCCACCTGGATTACTGGGTGTTGCCAGCAGACCCAGAGAAGCCCAATTAGAAGACCACGCACATGAACGGGGAGACGTACCACCGCCTGGTAACCAGTAAGTTCTCTGGGTGGCGGCGGCTCTGCTTCGGCGACGACGAGCCCTGCCGCCTGGTCCAGGAACACGAGAAGTGCCTGCGGCAAGACCAAAATTTGCAAGCGCTTCGGCAGGCAAGCTGCGCGGTGATCGACGACTACCCCAAGTCGTCCCCAGACCTCAACGCGATCGAGGAGGCATGGAACATGATTCGCCAGCGCTTGGAGGACACGGAGCCTGAGGACTTCGAGGGCCGCCCTGCTTTCGTGGCCCGCCTGCGGCGGTGCGTTAACTGGCTGAACGAGAGGCAGGGGGGCGCCTTGCTGAACATGTGCACGAACCAGAAGTGCCGCGCCAAGGATGTGATCGAGCTGAAAGGGGGCCAAGACCAAGTGGCAAGGGCACCCCCGCCCACCCCGCCGTTGCGACGAGGCCACTGGGGCGCCCCCGAAGGGTTGACAATGCCATCTCGTTTTCGATGATCTCGCTGGAAAGTGCACCGCGCGATGCCGCCGCCCACCCGCTGGGGGCTGGGGTTGGTCCGCGGGGGCCTGGGGCTTAGGCCCGCGGTGCCAGCAGGGCCCCTCGAGTTTCCTAGAGGGCACAAATGCCGCTCTGGAGCTCTGTTCCTTTCTCTGGCTATCTGGGCTGGTCTGGGGCATCCCTGCCCACGTAGCGTTATTTCCCATAGGCTAATTAGAGGCTAATTGGAAGCTAATCCATAGGCGATATGTATTTTTCCATGGGCTATTCGCTGTTCACGCTTCAAAGGAGTTATACATTAAATTCTCTTGAAGCGCGAAAAGGGAATAGCCGATGGAAAAATACATATCGCCTACGGAATAGCCTCTAATTAGCCTCTAATTAGCCTATGGGAAAAGCCGAGAAGGCCCCGACGCTCGCCCGTGCGGAACCATCCCCCCTGGGGCCTCGGAGGGCCTGCGCGGCGCACTTGGCGCACCTGGCGCAACTGGCGCACTTATGGGAGGCGACCTTATGGGAGGCCGGTGCCAAGCTCTTGAGGGAGAGCGATGCGATGACGAGCGTCACCAGTTTCCGCCGCCAGCTTGCTGTGCGCGTCGGCTTGCAGGAGCATGGTTCGGACGATCGCGCTGCTGAGGTGTTGGACCTGATCCGCCGTGCGTGGCGCCCAGCACCGACCGCGGCAACCCCCGAGGAGAAGATGAAGGAGATCGTGACCGAGGTGGGGCCTGAGGTCGCGGGCAAGAGGCACCAAGTCTACTTGATCACGCTCTCCAGAGCTCTCCCGGAAACCGCCGACAGGTCGAACTTGGTAGACGCGTCGGCCCTCGCAAGGGAAGCCGTGGGGGAGGCTGTGCGGAAGGCGTTCGACGAGCCGCTGGGCCGCGCGCCAGGTGCCCCTGGCCGCTCGCGCCGCCCCGGCGCCGCTTCTGTCGTGGAGAAGGTCGCCGTCTTCAGGGAGCACCATGCTGATGGAGCTGTTCATTTCCACGTGGCGCTTCTCCTGTCGCAGAAGATGGCCTGGCCCCCCCGAAGAAGGCGCTTCGCGAGCGAGATGGCATGGCGACCCATTGGTCGTGCAGCCACACGCAGTGGTGGAGCACCTTGCGCTACGGAGCGATCCCGACGCTGCACAAGACGACGGTTGACGACGACCCCTGGACCTGGACCAAAGTCGGGGTAGACATCGACTTCTTCGGTGAGTCGCAGGGGCCGTGGAACGCGCACATCTGGAAGAGGCAGCGCAAGGAAGCCGAGAAAGCGGCGACTGCTGGAACCGCGAAACGGGCTCGTCGCTTCACCAAGCTTGGCCTTACGGCGCTGATCTTGGACCGCAACCTGCAGACCAAGGCGGCCTTGTTGGAGTACGCGCAGGACTACGGCACGGATGAGATGCAGCGGTACGTCCATGCCCAGCAGAAGCGCTTGAAGGAGCACCTGGCCGAGGCGGCAGAGTGGGGCGCGGCGCGAGCAACCGCCCGCGCCGAGCGGAAGACCGACTGGGAGCTGGTGTGTCGCACCGCTGACGGGCCTTGTCCACATGGCACGGAGTGCCAGTACAGCAAGTCGACCAGCGTTTTCTTCGAGAAGAACAGGGCGACGTTGTCGCAGTCGGAGCTCGCCGCGGCGTTGCGCGCGATCATCCTGAACGGGCCGTCTAAGACAACCCGGACCCCCATGACCGTCGGGCCGACGAACACTGGCAAGTCAACCGTGTTGCTCCCGTTCGACGACCTCTTCGGCTTCAAGCATGTGTTCCACAAGCCTGCCGTCGGCTCCGGGGGGGGGAATCCGCTTTCGCCCTCGTGTTTTCGGCCCCGCCCCGTCTTCTGGGCGGGAGAGAACGGGGCGCCCTCCGGGCCCCCGCAACCCCGGATATCCCGGGGGGGCGCCAGGTTCTCCTTTCGCTCTGCGGAACATAGTGAAGGACAAGAAGTTCCTCTTCTGGGACGACTACCAGCCTATTGAGTTCGCAGAGAAGGCCGTCCCCGTGCAGTCATTCTTGAGTCTGTTCGAGGGCCACCCCTTCGAACCCCAGGCTGGCGATGGGGGATTCCGGCGGGCGGCCTGCGCGCGGCGCGAGATTGAGGGGGCGTTCGGGGAGGGCGTGAGCAGCGCCGGGCGCCGGGGCCCCGGTGGGAGGAGCGGCCAAGGCTTGCGATAGAGCCCTGCCCCCCCAACGCCGCCTCGCGCCGCGCCGCCGACTGACCCGCAAAATTTGAAGCCCGCCCTCCCAGGCGTCCCAGTCCTCACCGACGGAAACATCGACTTCAAGTGGCGGCGCGGGGCGGCGATGACGGCGAAGGAGGACGAGCTCTGGAAGCCGGCGAAGTGGGCGACCGAGGAGGACATCGGGCACATGAAGAACCGCGTTCTGGTGTTCATAGCGCGGGCGCGCATCCCACGGATCACCGACACGCACAAGTGTGCGCGTTGCGTGTGCCGGTGGATCCGGGACGCGGCGTCCGCCGCCGACTGTGACGTGGGCCTGAGGGCCTCAGGGCCCCCCTGGCCCCCACGGCGCCGTCCTCGTCGGCGGCCCCCAGCGTGTGCGGCTTGGGCGCCTTGTGCGCCGCCGCGCGCCTGCCGGAGGACGCGAGCTCCGCCCTGCTTGTCGATTTGCTGGCCATGGGCGCCGTCGACGTCAGGGAGCTGGGCGGCCGGGAGTGGCAGTCCCTGGCGGCGTGGGCCCGGTTGAAGCCTCTTGGGCGGCGCCGACTGGAGTGGGTTCTGCAGGGGGGCGCAGGATTGCCGGCGCTCTCGGCTTAACTGAGTGGTCCAGTTCCCAGAGCGATGGAGAGCCGGGATTGTGCCCTTTCGGCCAGCGCACATTTGCAGGGGTGCATGGAATCGCGCGCGCGTCCACGCGAGAGGCGCGCGAAAGGCACATCCTCGCCAACGCCATCTGTCATCGCCACCGTCGTCGCCGTGCCCCGCGCGGGAAAGACCCGCGGGGCCGTCATCGCCCTCTCCATCCCAGCCCTGCACCCGTCCTCTGGCCCTTCAACCCTCGTCGAAATTGAACGCAAGTTTTTCCCGCCCCCGTCGCCCCAAAATTTCAATATTCATCGACAGGCGCATCGCGGCCGGCGGGGTCCGAAGAAAATCTCGAAGTCGCTGGCGTCGGCGTGAACATTGAAATTGGGGGTCGGGGGGCGCCGCCAGGTCGCGGCTAAAACTTGCGTTCAATTTCGACGAGGGATGTAGTTCCGATTTGATCACAAAGCATGTGTTTTCCATTTCATCTGCATCGTCCGTCACGGCTCCGCCGACCTGCTTGAAACGTTTCGCCATCGTCCGCGAGCAGAGCGTCGGCATTATTGCATGGCCCGGGGCAGTGGGGGCAGCACGGCCAGAAGAAAGAGGAGGAGGAGGAGGAGGAGGAGGAGGAGGAGGATGGAGGAGAGAGGCGGAGGACGACCACGACGACGAGGAGGGCGAAGCGGCCGGGCGGCCAGGAAGTGCCCGCATTAGCATGGGGGACACAGGTCCCGAGGGAAGCGGGTCCTGGACCCTGGGGCCTTCCCCGAGGACGGGACCCTCATTCTTCCTCTGGCAGTCCCGGGGCCCGTGGAGGGCCCCGAGGGCCCTAAGGCGGCGAAAGACCACAGGACCCGCTTCCCCCGCGGCGACGGGGGTGCTCGCCGCGCTATCTTCTGCGCCCGGGGCGCCCGGGCCCGAGCGGTGGGGCCCACGGCAGCGCTGGGGCAGCCGGCAGCCTCAGACTGGGCTGGCAGCCGTGGAATGGGGCACCTCTCCCACCTCCCTCGTTCTCGAACACCCCTCCCTTCCGCTCCCTCCTGCTCCCTCCATTCCCCCCATTGCCTCGGAGGCCTCTGCCTGCTTCTCCTTATAGGTCATGGCATCTCTGAACCCAAGAATGCAAAGACGTCTCGGGCCAAACTGGCCGGACACCCACGCTCACGGAATCCCGAGCGCGGAGCTACGACAACGTCTCAAGCCAAACTGATCGGACCACCTCCAAGGCGGGGCATCTCCAAACCCAGAGTTACGAGGATGTCTCAGGCGAAACTGGTTATATCACATCTAGCAGGACATCTCTGAGCCCAGAGTTGCGAGGATGCCTTGGGCGAAGCTGGCCAGGCAACCCTGCCGCAGCATCTAAGATCGTGGAATGCAAAGATATCTCAGACGAAACTGCCTGGAGCACCTCGCATGCGGCATCTCTGAGCCTAGAGTTGTGAAATGATACCGGAGAAAAAAACCCAATCATATTTTTTTTAGGGCTTTAGGGCTATGGGGCTATAAGGCTATAGGGCTAGAAGGCTATGGGGCTATAGGGCTACATGGCCATAGGGCTATAGGGCTATTGGGCTATAGGGTTATGGGGCTGTAGGGCTATAGGGCTATAGGTCTATAGGGCTATAAGGCTATAAGGCTATAGGGCTATTAGAGGTGTAGGGCTACAGGGCTATAGGGCTATGTAGAGCTACTGGGCACCTGGGCACCTGGGCACCTGGGCACCCAGGCACCCGGGCACACGGGCACACGGGCACCCGGGCACCCGGGCACCGGGGCATCCAGGCACCCGGGCACCCCGGCACCTGGGCACCCCCGGGCACCGGGGCACCCGGGCGTGCAGCGAAAATCGGCGGCAAACCTAACCTAATCATATGAATCCGCTGGGACCCCTACAGAGGCAAGCTCTGATTGGGGAAATATGTGAAAATGTCTCAGGCGAAACTGGCCGGACAAGCTTGTGGACGGCATCTATGGAGCCTAGAGTTGCGAAAATGTCCCATACGAAACTGCCTGTAACATCTCGCACGGACGCGGCATCTCTGAGCCTAGAGTTGTGAGGATGTATCTGACGAAACTGGCTAGACAACTTCGCGCGCGGCATCTCTGATTCCAGAATTGCAACGATGTCGCAAGGAAAACGTGCTGGACGACCTCCGAATCTGGATGTCTCTGTGCGCCGGTCCCGCGGGTGGCACTACAGTCGAACTGTGGCCCGAACGACGCGGATCAGGAAAACGAGCTTCTTCGCCCAAAGCCAAGGGCTCCGTAGAGATGCCAAGACCGAAGAGTATCCCAATGTGGGGGGGGGGCCCAAGGGCGAAGAACAGAGGGGCACCCCTCCAGAGCGGAGGCTGCTCTTACCCCTCGTGCCAGCTGTAGCTTCTACCACAACAGGCCCTCAGTCAGGACAGCTGTGTTGGGAACGACGATCAGGAGCATGCGCGAGCGGAAGTGATAGGAGGAGACGAGAGGGGAGAAACGGACAGGGGAGGAATGAGGAAAGAGTGCTGATAATTTCGATGAATCTGACATACGCGTTGCGCAGACAAGATGAAACTGCTGGACAAACCCTTGGACGACCCCGCGAGGAACCGAACAACACCCCCAAGACAACCGCCCTGGACAACCCTCCCCTGAATTAGTTCCCATATAACATGATAAATTGAGCAATCGCTCGAGGCATCTTCGAACTCCCTGGCACACGAATCTGGAATTCTTACAAGAGAGCGTTTCCTTTGCAATGTTGAACTGCTGCTGGAGACTTCGTATGACTTGTTGTCAAAATTCTTCGAGCCGCACAACAGCATCACGGATAGAGCGCAACACCTCTTGAAAGTGGATCGCTCGTTTGACACTCTCGTGGTCTTTACGATCCGACATTTCTGTTGGGGGGTATTTGCTCCGAGCTAGAAGGATCGACGGCGATTCCTTCACACGACAAGGCTCTCAACTGAATGGCAGGCACACGGGGCGCTCGCCTTTCAAGCTGGCGCTCTCCGTAATGGAAATAAGCACGTGCTCAAACTTATGAAGAGGAAGCTTGGGACGGGAGGCTGTAGCGCGGCACCGTTTGTGCAGCCTGGGTTTCCTCTGAACTGTCTTCTTCTCTTCCCCCTCGCTCCCCTTTCACCCAATCCTCCTCTTCTCCTCCTCCCTACACGCGCGGCGCGGAGGGGTGGGCCTCGGTTTCGCTCCTCCCGTTCGGCGTCATGACCGTGAGGTTGAAGATACTTCGCCCACCAGAGCCATGGGTGCGGGACAAAACCAGACCTCTGCCGACTCGAAAAAATCAATGGATATTCATCGCCACACTGTGCGTCCAGGAACCATTTTTGAACTCTGGGCGCTCTGGGGACCAGCGACCCGAAACAATCGAGTCGTCGGAGGCTTGGGGTCGGGTAGGTCGGAATGGGGAAGAAAACGAAATGGAGGAAGGGGAGTACGATGACGGAAAAGTGCGCATGAGGTCTGGAAATAGAAGCCTACCGCAGCAGAGGGCGGTTACGGCGGTGGCAGCTGCGAAGGAAGGCGAAACCAGTGCAATGAATCTTGTCACGTGCGCATACTGCCCCACGGACTGCGCGTCCTGAAACCGAAGAGAGGGAGCGGGGAAGGGCCCTTTTTCCAGTGGCACTGGAAGCGAGTTCAGTCGCTCCGGAGCGCGACCCAAGCCTCTTTGTAATAACTGAGCCGCCGGCGCCGCCAACTGCCAGACGAATAGCAAGAACCCTGCGGCCGCGAAAGCGCCACTGAACACAATCTAGGTGACAGATGGCCCCGGTGGACAGCTGCAGGCCCCGCTCGTCACGGCCAGGAGGGCTGGGATGTCAGGGCGGGCACACCAGGGTGACGCACTCGGGAGCAGCGGGGAAGACCGCTGCGAGACGGATGCCCGACCAAACGCACGGAGCAAAATGCAATCGCAAGCCGGCCGCGCGGATACCGTCGCAGGCCGCGCTGATGCGCGTGGCCAGGATGCCTTGTCACAAACCCAGGCCAGCGCGACGCGGCGGCCCGGATGCGGGAGCAAGCCAGCCAGGACTGCCCGTCCGATGCCGGAGCATGCCGACGGCGCTGGATGCTAGAGCAGCAAGCAAGCGGGCTGGAAACCCCCGGCGGGTGCGGATGCGGAGCAAGCCGCGCCACGCGCGTGGCCAGGATGCCGGAGCAAGTCCGGGCCGGCGCGACGCGGCGGCCCAGATGGCAGAGAAAGCCGTGGCTGCGACGCAGGACCCGCCAGCCAGGTGCCAGAGCAGGCCGGCCGCGTCGGACGCTGGAACATGCCGACGGCGCTGGGTCGCTGGGTGCTGGAGCAAGCCGGCGCGGGGCGCGACGCCGATGACGCTGAGGGACGCAAATGCCACCCTCACGTCGGCAATGATTACTGCTGCGCGTTCCGACCCAGGGCCAGCTGCCCACCCGGCGGTAGGTTCTGATCGCGCGCTCGGTCTCGCGCCCTTGCTGGCCTGTCGCTGTAAATTAGGCTCGCGCGTAGCCCGCCCGACCTCTTCGGATGCCGCCTGCGCTTCCGCTTGCGGCCGCGACAAAAAGGTTTCGACCCAGGGCGGGCGGGTGGGCGCGGGCCAGCTGCGCGGCGCCACCCCCCTTGGGCGACGAGCAGACCTGCCGGCGACAAAACGGGCGAGGGCTCCGAAACACCTCCCGCCGACGTCCGCCACCAGGGGCCTCAACACGCCCGGAAGCGTCCCGAGGGAGCCCGCCGACGCCGCCAGGAGCCTCCAAGAAGCGCCCGAGACGGCCGCCAAGATTCTCTGAGGGCGCAAGTGGCGCCCACATGCACCCCTGCGGGGCCCCAGCCGCGACCGTTGCGCGCACGTCGTGGCCACCGCCCCCTTTGGCGACGACACGCGCACGACATGCACGGGAAATTGCGCGGGGGATACCCCCGAGCGCGCAGCGAGCCCGACAAGGGCCCCCAGGGGGGCCAAGACGCCCCCAGGGGGCGGGGGGCGAAGGGCCCCCCGGGAGCCCCGCCGGGGCCCGGGGAACCCCTGGACGGCCCCGGCGAGTGAGTTATTCAGTCCATGAAAAATACCTCGGCAGAGGCCCTTCGGGAGCAAGAATCCGGAAGGTTTTCCGCCGAGTTCCAAGGGAAAGCTACCGGGCGGTCTGGATGGGCAACTTTCCACCTCTCACCAACCATAAAGCTGGCGGCGCTGCCGCCAGTCACCGATCGCATCGGCGCGTCGGCGCGCTCGAAGACACGAAGAGCTCCAAGATAACAGGCACGCCAACCTGCTTCGCCGGCGCGAGCTCGTCGGGGCAGATGGCAGGCACTGGCGCCCCAAGCCTCCAGGGCGCGTCCATGGCGACGTTGCGCTCGGCCAGCTAGTGGGGCGCAACATGGGCCCACCGCCTCCGCGCCCGCCCCCGCGCGAGCTCGCGAGCGACGCGATCGAGAAGGCCCCTGCCCCCGAGGCCGAACGCCCCTGCCCCAACGGGAACGTCGTCCCCGGCGACCGTGGGGGCCTGCGACGGTCACGCATCCCCCCAACGCACAGCGCCAAGAGCACCGTCAGGTAAAGTCATCGGCCTGACCCAAGGAACGATACATCAGGAACGACGCCACCATTTTCCAAGGAATAACGCATAAGGAACGGTAAATAATGAATAACGCATAAGGAGCGATAAATAACGCATGCAAGCCTAAGGAATGACCGAGCCCCTTCTGAAAAGTAAGTGTTCCTTATTCAGCCGCTCACTGTACTCACAGAAAGCCCCGCACCTCGGGCTTCCAGTTTCCACCTGGAAAGGCGAGCAGACCTCCGTCGACCAGGCCACCGACACGCACTCGGCCCGGGAGCCCCGCGCGACGAGGGCCACCTGGCCGCCCCACGGCGGCGCGCCAAACTTCACGACGACACCGTCGGCCACTCGCGCCAGCCGCGGCCAGCACCGACCAGCAATCCTGCGGAGGGGAGCAGGTCGAGGACATCAGGGCGCACAAGCGCCTACCTCCAAGACGCAGCGCCCGCAAACCTGCGGCAGGCGACGCGGCCTCGCGGCGCCTCGCGCCCCGCGGGCAAGGCGCGCGCGAGCGCCCTCCACAACGCCGCAGCAAAGGGGACCGCGTCGGGGACGACGCGCGCCACCCCGGCGCGCTCCCCCGCGACCCGACGGGCGGCAGCTGCAGGGGCGCGCCCCGAGCCCGTCGCAAACGGGGCGGGCAACTCGCGCAGGCCCACCAACAAAACTCACGCGGCAGGGCGAGGCGGGGAATTGCGGCGACATCCGCGCCAATCCAGACATGTTCGCCCGGGCGCAGCAGTCCCTTCCCCCGCGCCAGCGACACACCGAGCGCGACCAACAACGCAAGCACGAGGTCGATGGCCAGCTGCGCCGCCGCGGGGGTGGCGACGACAGCGAGGACTGGGTCGTTCCCCAGGGCCGCGCGGGCCTGGCTGGTCGTCGATCGACCGCGCGATTAGGCGCGGCAGTGCCTGCGCGGTCAGCGTCGCACAGGAGGCGACTTGGCCAAACACGACTGGTCTGGACGCGCCGCCTAGCCCGAGGACGCGCCAGACTACAAAGTCGCCGCGGGCAGTCTCCTGCGGGCATGCCGCATGCCGCTGGGCAGTTCCCGTGGAACTCCCCGCCCCAATGCGCGCAGTTGCACGGCTGCTCATCGACGCGGGCACGCAAAATCCAAGACCAACGCCCAGACAACCTCGCACTCGCAGACCTGAAAAGCGAGCTCCGTGAAACCCGCGGCGTGGTCGAGGATCGCGGGAAGGACCTGGCGCTCGGCGACCGCCGCCGCCTCGTCCACGGCGTTAGCCTTGAGGTCCTGGATCACGGCGCGATCCACCTTGCCGCCAGGCTTCCTCCTCGCGATGTTGCCGAGCGGCGCCAGCACTCGGCCGCCCCGCAGTGGGCCTCTGCTGCCGCCCGCCCCTCGAAAAGGACCCCGAAGCCCTTGCCCACGAGCTCTTGCACCTGCTCGACGCTGGGCGCCTCGTCGTGGCCGCGGAGGTCGAAGGAGGACGGGCGGTCCTCGAGCTCTGCGCTGCCTGGCAGCTCCTCCGCGCCAAGCGGAGCCTCGGAAGGGGAGGGCCGCGGCCCGGGCCCCCCCGCGCCTGGACAGCGCGCGCCAGCTCTGCGCGCCAGGCGGGCGCCGCGCGGCGGCTCTCCGCCGCCGCTGGGCCGAGGTCCAAGTCCCAAGTGCGCGGCGACTGCCTGGCGGGCGCGCCGCGCGCAGTCCCCGCAGGAAGGGTCGCGCGCGGGCGCCCTGCCAGGCTCGCCAGAGATCCCGCGGGGTGGTAGATCCGAATTCCTTCTTAGAGAGGAGCATCCATGTGGCGCAACGTACGTGGTGCAATAAATATATATATATATATATATATATACATATATATGTGGTGCAGTGCCTGCGGTGCAATCTGTGCGGCTCAACCAGTGTGGTGCAACCTCTGTGGTGCAACGTATGTGGTGCAATCTATCTAGTGTGGCAGCGGCGACGGGGCGGCGACGGGGCGGCGACGGCGACCGCATAGCCGCCAGACCGACGGGCAAGCCCAATCCCTTAGAAATGAAACAGGATCCCCGAAGTACGGCTTCTGGGGAAGATGGGATCTGGCAGTCCAACACCCTCTACCTGCAACAAGCGGCCTGCAACTGGGGTTGGATCCCCCTCCATGAGCCGTGCGAGGGCGGGTTCGGGCCCCGTTGGCTCGTCCCCGCCTGGGTGCCAGAGGCTGGCTTGGCTCTCGCGCGGGGGGGGGGGTCCCATGCGTTGGCTTGGGGGTGGGTGGATGCTCTGCCTGGCCCTGAGGGGCTGCATGGCCCACATTGCCAGCTTCATCCTGGACATCGCCTCCTGTCCAAGCGGTGCGACCATCAGCATCACCATCATCACCCCCACCACCATCATCAGCAGCATCATCATCAACATCAGCATACTCATCAGCACCAGTATCAGCATCAGCATCAGCATCAGCATCAGCATCAGCATCATCATCATCATCATCATCATCATCATCATCATCATCATCATCATAATCATAATCATCATCATCATCATGATCATCATCATCATCGTCATCATCGTCTTCAGCATCAGCATCACCACCATCATCGTCATCACCACTCAGCATCATCAACAACAGCGTCAGCATCATCCTAATCAGAATCGTCATTTTCATCGTCATCGTGATCATCGTCACCCTCATTCTGACTCATTCTCGTCGTCATCGTCGCCGTATCGTCGTAT